TCATGCTACTAAATTGTTGAATTGGATCTTTTTTGTATTCGAGGACTTGAACTGCCAGCACCTGGCCGTGTATTTGACACGAGGTGCGTTAAGCCCGAATTACGGATAAATATAGCACGTCAAAAGTGTAGATATTGATGCGAATGATTCTCTCTCTCTCTCTCTCTCTCTCTCTCTCTCTCTCTCTCTCTCTCTCTCTCTCTCTCTCTCTCTCTCTCTCTCTCTCTCTCTCTCTCTCTCTCTCTCTGTTCAATCCCCCAGCCATCAAAGTAGCGGTTGTACCATTCACTCCCTCCCGTCCCATCCCAAATCCTTATCCTGACCACTATCAAGTGCTATATAGTCGAAATGACTTACTCTTTCCTCGGGGCACCACTCCTGTGCCAGGTAAGTCCACTACGGGCTCACCATAGCCCGTGCTACTTGGAACTTGTTCCGAGTAGCTGAATCTATAACAACAACTCTTTCCTTTGATAATTCCGTTCACTCTCATGTCGACTATAACTCTAGCATTATCGTCTATGAATATACATAATGGTGGATGCATACACTGGCGACTGTGGAATAACTTAGCTTATATTGCACTTATATAACCTCCCCCCCCCCCCCTTAAGTCCAACCACTTGGGGTGGACGGTAGAGCGACGATCTCGCTTCATGCAAGGTCGGCGTTCAATCCCCGACCGTCCAAGTGGTTGGGGCATCATTCCTTCCCACCGTCCCATCCCAAATCCGTATCCTGACCCCTTCCCAGTGCTATATTGTAGTAATGGCTTGGCGCTTTCCCCCCTGATAGTTCCCTTCCTTCTCCCTTGCCCCTTAAGATTATCGCAAATATTGTCATAGTAAACAAAGACAATATCTCCCGAGTTATTATCAAAACACTGTTGATATTATTACTGTCAATACCACTTTGAATATTACCTCCCTCAGTCCTAGTTAATTTAACAGGAGCGTTATTGGCACCATTGCCAGCATCAGTACTGCCAGTATGTATGTTAAATAACAGTACTACGACCATTATCAACAGTACTACCAACCCTTCAGGCTAAAACAACAGACAACAGAGCATTACAACGACGTTTCTCTCAGCAGTTCTCAGACAAATCAGCTCATTGAACCCCGAAGTGCGTGTAATTCCCAATCTCATCGCTGGTGACTTTTTATTCCACTGTGCCACAGCAATACTGGATGGTGGCGTTAGCAGGAGCACGAACAAAGCTGTGTGATGGGGCTGCTTTGGTGTGTGTGTGTGTGTGTGTGTGTGTGTGTGTGTGCGTGTGTGTGTGTGTGTGTGTGTGTGTGTGTGTGTGTGTGTGTGTGCTTCACTCGAGGTAGAATGTGTATCCTAACCATCTTTTTTCCTCTCCTACACGTCAATTACTTCGAAATGTTTGGGGTGTCAATCGCAGGAAGGTAAAAGGAATATTTATTTCGCTCGTTGGATCATTTGGTTAGATAATTTTGGCTGGATCATTTTGGTTGGATCATTTTGGCTGGATCATTTTGGTTGGATCATTTTGGCTGGATCATTTTGGTTGGATCATTTGGCTGGATCATTTTGGTTAGATAATTTTGGCTGGATCATTTCATGTTAATAATGTTCATAAGTGATGTCACCAGATCCTGATTTTCATCCTGATTTTGACCTGATTCTCATCCCGATTCTGGTGCAGATTTTGAACCTGTTTTTTTTACAGGAGCCTTATTTGGATAAACATTGTTTTGTATCTCGGTGTTGTATTTTGTGTTTGTTTTGTTTTGTTTATAAACACAAACACGTGTCCCTTTGCTTCACGCGAGAACTGTAATTCGTTAAAAAAAACACGGCTGCCTGAGGAACCTAATGCTGAAAGCTTGGAAATCAAGCTTTGAACTGTTTCGTTATTTTACTAGTGTGAGATCTGACTGGATTTTTTTTGAGTGGGTGGGGGCCGGGAAGGGGGGTTGTCGAGTTCCAACAACCAGTCTATCCGACCCAAATCACCGCTCGTGTATGAAACGAAAGCACATTTAGTCAATGCCTTTCGTCTGGCAATGACACCCAGCTATGTCGTGGAGAGAGAGAGAGAGAGAAAGAGGAGAGAGAGAGAGAGAGAGAGAGGCGAGAGAGAGAGCGAGAGAGAGAGAGAGAGAGAGAGAGAGAGAGAGAGAGACTGACTGTCAGAAAGAGCAGCAAGGTAAACATCAAACACTCTGTTAACAAACTAACCAATCAGCTTCATTAGTACATTTTTGGGGGGCGAACAGACAAACACAAATAAACACTATCCAAAATATTATTACTAAAAGTTCAAAGTCTTGATAAACACACCACAGCAAATACCAATATATATGTATATTGGTATATGTTTATATTTTAATATGTATACTTGCAAATTAGATGCTCATGCAAATCGAGTCAACAGGCAGCCCACCTAACTTATCACAAGTGGGAGAGGAGGTTGACTGCTCCAAGGATGAGAAAGGCAACAGAGAGTGAATGATGTTGAGTCAGCAGAGTGAATGATGTTGCTGAGTAAGCAGAGAGAGTGAATGTTGCTGAGTCAGCAGAGAGTGAATGGTGAAATGATAGAGAAAAGTAATAGTGATGAGCATAGATTTCCTGACTGTAGCCTCCAACGCTGCGGACCGCGAGTCTATCCACTATTCTTAGCGTGTTAGATGCAAGTTAGTGAGCCACACCCTCCCTCCCCTCTTCAAGTTAGAGCCACACCACTGCTCTTCAAGTTAGTGAGCCACACCCACCCCCTCTTCAAGTTAGTGCCACACCACTGCTTTTCAAGTTAGTGACCCACACACCCCCCCCCCCCCCCCTCTCTTCAAGTTAGTGCCACACCACTGCTCTTCAAGTTAGTGAGCCACACCACCGCTCCCTAAAAGTTATATTGAGCCAGACCATTTACATCCTCTTTTGTCGCCTTCCTGAAAGCATTTATCTGACCAGAAAGCTTAGCCATTGATTTAGAAGGTGGCCAGGGATGGCTTTATGTGTGAAGCAGTTGATCAAGACATCACTTAAGAAGAAAATGACCGATATCCTTCCTTCGGCTGTTTTAAAAGCTTTGTTCAATATTTTATTGAGAATGTGTTTTATTGAAAACATATATATATATATATATATATATATATATATATATATATATATATGTATATATATTATATATATATATATATATATATATATATATATATATATATATATATATATATATAGAAATTGCTTAGTTCTTGCTTGGAACAAGACATGTAGCAAGCGGAAATACTAATAGTAATAATAATAAAAATAATAATAATAATAAAACTGAACATGAAGAAAAACCAGTTTTCCAAACAGGAAGGAATAAAAACAGAAAAAAATTAAACAAAAAATATAAAAACAAAAAAACAGAAAAAAATTAAACAAAAAATATAAAAACAAAAAAACAGAAACACATATATAGATAAACATTAAAAATAAAAAGTTATCGTCTAGTATGCATACCTATTTATACTTATCATTTTAACTCCAAGAAAATACCCCAAAAAAGAGAAAACAAGAGCCATGATTTTCCCACTAGTTTAACAAGAGAACGAGTCAGCACACAGTGATGACAGACGGTAAAAATCAGGGGATAAGAGAGAGAGCGAGCGAATCATGGATGCCAAATGCAATATATGTAGTCCCGACAGGCATTCAGAAACGGTAATATTCCACTTTGTCTGCTCGTGTCGGATATTTCATATTTTCAGCTGAAAACTCGAGCGACATTATGCAAACAGGAAATTTTATTTGGCAAACTGGGCAACTCTCTCTCTCTCTCACTCTTTCTCTCTCTCTGTCTCTGTCTCTGTCTCTCTCTCTCTCTCTCTCTCTCTCTCTCTCTCTCTCTCTCTCTCTCTCTCTCTCTCTCTCTTGGTAAAGTTTAATACATCCTGTCTTCCTCTCACATTCCCTTATTTCCTCCTTCCCATATTCATTCATTTATTCCCTTTCTTGTTCCCCACCCATATTCACTCCTTCCCTCCCTTATTCACTCCTTTCCTTTCTTTGTTATTCCTTCCCTCCCTTATTAACTACCTCCTCCCTCTCTTATTCATTTTCTCCCCTCCACCCTTTCCTTTTCATTCCTTCCTTCCTTCCCTTCTTTTTCATTCCCTCCATTCCTCCCTTCCTCTATTTGCCGCTTTATACCTTTAACACATCCATCTCTCCCTTCCTCACTCCATTCTTTCCCCCTCTCTCATTCTTTCCATCCTTCTCTTCCTCACTTATTCCCCGCCCTCCTACGTTACCTCCCTACCTTCCTCCCTCAATCCCTATCTCTCCCTCCCTCTCTTAGTCAGTTCCCTCACACGGCTTAATAACCGTTCAGGACTGACCGAAACGTCCTCAATTCTTCATTTTTGTTTTTCAATTTTTCAACCTTCATCCACATTATTGTGACTTATTATCTGCTCTCTTTTTGATCTTCCTTCAATTTCCTTCTTTCGCCGCTTCCCCCACCCCTCCCCCCATCCACCTTTCCCTTTTTCTACTTTTCCATTGCCTTCTTTTCTCTTCTCTTTCCCCCTCTTTCAATGGTATCTGCCTCAGTCTCTTCCTCGTTCTCCTTTCAAGCTCTTCAACACAAATTTATATCCTTCTGTATTCATTTATTGATATCATTCTGGATTTAAACATTGATATTATCCTCTTTGTACACTTTCGAAATCTCGTATGTTTCCGTTTCTCACCAAAGGCACAGATTCGGTCTCTTGATTCGTGTTTTAAAGCGTGGATCAAACCATTGGCTTCTGATCTGCGTCATGGAGTAGTACGTGGACTCCTTTCTTGCGTCGTGGACTAGCCTATGGACTCCTTTCCTGCGTCAAAACCTAGCCTCTGGAGTACATTCCTGTGTCATGAAGTAGTCTCTGGACTCCTTTCCTGCGTCATTGACTAGCTCATGGACTCCTTTCCTGCGTCATGAAGCAGTCCATGGACTCCTTTCCTGCGTCATGAAGCAGCCTCTGGAGTACATTTCTGCGTCATGAAGCAGTCCCATGGACTCCTTTCCTGTGTCATGAAGCAGCCCCATGGACTCCTTTCCTGCGTCATGAACCAGCCCCATGGACTCCTTTCCTGCGTCATGAAGCAGTCCATGGACTCCTTTCCTGCGTCATGAAGCAGCCCCATGGACTCCTTTCCTGCGTCATGAACCATCCCCATGGACTCCTTTCCTGTGTCATGAAGCAGCCCCATGGACTCCTTTCCTGCGTCATGAACCAGCCCCATGGACTCCTTTCCTGCGTCATGAACCAGCCCCATGGACTCCTTTCCTGCGTCATGAACCAGCCCCATGGACTCCTTTCCTGCGTCATGAACCAGCCCCATGGACTCCTTTCCTGCGTCATGAACCAGCCCCATGGACTCCTTTCCTGCGTCATGAACCAGCCCCATGGACTTCTTACCTGAGTTATGGACTAGTCCATGAACTTTTTACCGGAGTCATTCCAGTATCAAGCGATGCAACGCACCGTTGTTGGGTGTCCATTCTCCGTTCTCAATGTTCACTGCTCTCGTATTTGCAACGGAACTAATGCCGAAGTTGCTTCCGTTGATGTGGGATTTTGTTATGTATATTTGTTGAATGCTGGAGGTTGTTGTGGATCGAGGCGGGAGGAGAGTTATTTATTTTTTTTTATTTTTTTTTTTATTTTATTATTTTCTACCACAGACGTGGCCACACATTTACAATGCTAACCATAATATATACATTTGAGAGTGGAGGAGAGTGGATGTCTTGTGTGTGTGTGTGTGTGTGTGTGTGTGTGTGTGTGTGTGTGTGTGTGTGTGTGTGTGTGTGTGTGTGTGTGTGTGTGTGTTGGTAACGTTTTTACTCTCATTTTGGTTTTTATGCTCTTTCGTTTAATGGTGAATATGCCTCAGTGGTGATGGACTCAGGTGAGGTGTTTGTGTGTATTTGTTTGTTTGTGTGTGTTGCTTATTAAAATGCATGTGTTGAAGTTTGTCCTTTTACTTCTCGTGTGTTTGTGTTTGTGTGTGTGTGCGTGTGCGCGCGTGTGAGCGCGTGTGTGTGTGTCTTTGGTAAATTTCTTTTCAAGTTATTTTTTCCATTTCTTTCCTTCTGAAAGTTGATGTTTTCTTAAAGATGCTGATGTTTATGGATATCCATGAAGAATGGACTGGACGGTAGAGCGTAGGTCTTGTATTGTACAGAGTCGGCGTTCCATCTCTCCGATGGTCCAGTAAGTGGTTGGGCAACGTTCTCTTTGCCCTCCTTCTCATATCCCAGCTTCTTGTTCTCGTATCTCAGCTTTTTGTCCTCATATTCCAGCTCCTTGTCATCATATCTCTGCTCCTTTTCCTCATATCTCAGCTCCTTGTCCTCGTATCCCTTTCATTTGCTATATAGTCACATTGATAGTTTTATCCTGTTAATTATCTACCTATTCCGAATGGCATTTTCTGAAAGGCTTTTTAAAATTCTCATAAGTAACCACCAGTCTCGAATCTTCAAAGTAGAGATCAAAAAAATTCTTTCGAAATTCACCAAGATGTCTTACTCTCTCTCCAAAAATGTTTTTCGCCTCTCTAAAGTGGGAGGGGGGGGGCCAGCTTACCCTCGGCTGACTTTCACATTTCCTCCAACAGATGGCAGCACTCCACAGGCTCCCAGGCAAGCCGGAGTGACCTCATCAAGAGGTCTCATTTCTCCAGCAAATGACCTCAGTTTCTCTAGCGGGTGGCAGACCCCCAGCCCTTAAGGTTGACAACTTTCTTTGGTTTAATCTAATCTATGTAAGTTGAAGAAGGGTTCCGATACTGGCAAGTAAATTAAGGCGGCACAGGCTAATGACATTATGTCGTGAATAACTTCATCTGAAAGTATAAGACCCGATGATTATTTTATGCAATCCATATATTATTTTTAGAGTCCATGGATGATTCTTAAGTCTGAAAGAGAAAGGGGGGATTGGGTAATATTCAGAATGTACTATATTCACTTCTCATTCATGCTTATACTCGTTTTCGTGCAGTGAAAAAGGTTCTGTAGGAACTTTCCGTCAGTAGGTCACTAGAGTTGTTTTTACGAGTGCAACACACTCTTACAGTCCTCGCTCCTTTCTACTTACCACTCAATTTCCTCTTCATTCTTATACATTTCCCAGTCCATTACTCTCTTTTCCTTTCTCCCCTTTCACCATCACTCTCTTCTCCTTTCTCCCCCTTTCCCTATCACTCTCATTTTCCCTTCACTCCTTCCGGATTCCTTTTCTCCCTTCTGCCTATTCTTTTACTCATAATTTCTTTCTTTCCTCTCCGAGAAAAAACAAGAGAGTAATTATCACCAAGAAATTTATAAAATCAAATTACAAATACAAATAAAAATCTCTGATACAGAGATTTTCATTTGTAATGTTTTCAGAATCACTACAACTAATTTCAGGTGTGTGAAGGCTGTTATTAACTGTATCTTGGTTGATACGCAACCAAAAAAAAAATACATTAATATCTTTTTCTTCCTATGGTCACCTTTTCAATAGATAATTTTTTTATCTTCCTACGACCATATTTTTATCTACATTAGCTGTCTCTTCCATTGTTTTTATAGCCATCTTGGGTTTTCTCTCTCTCTTTCTCTCTCTCTTTTCTGTCTCTCTCTCTCTCTCTCTCTGGTAATGTGTTAGAGAAGGGTAAGACTTGGAGGAGAAGGTGATAAATTCTCCGAGACAAGTCTGTCTGCCCAGCCTCGAACTAGGGCCAGGTAAGCAGCCCTGAGAGGACGATGCACTGAAACACCTGCGATTGTGTTTCCGACTCACGAGACAACGGTCTGTAAAGCTTGAAGGAGGGGGGGGGGGAGGAGCTGGCTTTTCTTAGCACTGCAAGATGGTGTTTATATTGTCATGTGAGACTATACACATTTTAATATGTGATACTGTATGTACGCTGTTACATGACACTGAACTCAGAGTTTTATATGACACTGCACTCACTACTACACGTCATTGTACTCACATTATGATATGACACAGTACTCACATCATGACATGACACAGTACTCACATCATGACATGACACAGTACTCATACTCTTATATGACACTGTACTCATGCTGTTACGTGACACTGTACTCAAAATATTATATGACAGTGCACTCACAATCTTTCCGAACTCCTGTATATGCACACTATTACATAACACAATATTCACATAAGTTACAACATCTTCAAAAACCTTTTAACATGCAAAGCTGTTTAAAAAAATTCAGTTTTAATGATTGATGAAGTGCCATTCAGATAATTTTATCTTAATAACACCTCCAAAGTGAGGAATGAGGTAACTTCTGGTTGTTATTTAAATACAATACGTTAAAACAAATTGCTAGGGGCAAGAGAGGGGTAAGAGCGTGCAGGCATTTTAATACTAACAGGTTCGATACCCGGAGAAAAATGCTCGTCATCAACGGGGATTATCCGGAAAATGCATCAAGCGTATCGGATGCGACTCTCATATCCGATACGATATATGAGAGTTCCTCAGACTAGGCCGTAACTCGCCTGGGAAATTAGCGTTCTATATAACGTGATTAATGGGATTAACAGCGAGGCGTCAGCCTGTTGTGTTGTTCCGTGGGTGTGTTCCCTTAGTTCTACCTACATGGGTTGCTCTTACCTGGTCGAGCTTGGTCGAAAGACCTTGTAGACCCACAACTCAGTCGTTCAGTGCAGTGGGTATTTTTTTCACTCTTTTTTTTTCGTATATTTACTTTAAAAACTGTGTATCAAACTTCAACTTCCTCGTTAAGTAAGTTAACGAGGAAGTTTACTTAATTTAAATCAACAATTTAAGCCCTCTTGTTGGCGAATCTTAGACGGAAACCCTTTGGCATCTGTTTAGCTTGTCTGTGTTCCCTATTATGTCCCATCGTTCAACTGTGCCTTACCTTTGAAGTTGATGGTATAGATAGTGTAGAAGGTGGTGTGTAGTGGTGGTGGTGGTACAGACAGATGGTGAGTAGTGGTGATGGTGATATAGATGGTCTTGAAGATGGTGTGTAGTGATGGTGGTGAATTAGATGGTGTTGAAGATGCAGATTACGTACATGGATGTGTTTACAGAGTCTTTCTCTCTCTCTCTCTCTCTCTCTCTCTCTCTCTCTCTCTCTCTCTCTCTCTCTCTCTCTCTCTCTCTCTCTCTCTCTCTCTCTCTCTCTCTCTCTCTCTCTCTCTTCTATATTTGCTAATATTTTGAATAGAGTTTTTCGACATCAAACTGAATATAAAACTTCGTTGAGGCGCACACAATTTCATATATAAATTTTGCAGCTGCATACATTTCAATATTTAATTATCCATTATTCATTCCATATAAATTGTTTCATATTCGCTTAACATGTTTAACTGAATATATTTTCTTAAACTATCCATTCCAATAATAATATATATATATATATATATATATATATATATATATATATATTATATATATTATATATATATTTTAAGACTCACTGTGGCACTCAGCTGGTTCTAATAAATCTGTTCAGGATCCAGATGGCCATTGATGGTATATTGCAGAAGCCGCCAACCCCGCGACTGTAACACAAATTGGAAGGAAAGAGAGAGATATGGAGCACTAAATATCCCGTTTAATCTATTATCCAACTTTATTTTTGTTTTCTAGCTCGGCTGGATATTGGTCTATAAAATGTCTAGATTTGTGCTATCTTCTCTCGGTTTTTATTTACATGTTCCATCCCATTTTGGTGCTTCTCTTTGTTGTGTAAACATCTTGGATATATCAATAGCTTCCGGTTAACTTCACACGTTCAAACATTATGGCTATTTACTCTTGCAATTGCCAATTAATTTAGAGAATGAGATGTAATGCTTATCACTCAGAGGGAACCTGAGTAATTGGTGAGTCTAAAAAGAGATTTTTAGGGTCACCCATCCGGTTATTCCTCACTTAATACCGGTCTCTCTTGGCTGGTTCAGCTTCTCAGTCACCTCTTAAGATTTTCTTAGGTATTATTTTCAATAAGCTTAGTGTAAAGATCTTTAACACTCGATTGAGCAGGTTTCAAATACATTTATATAATATATTATATGTATTTATTAACATATATTATTTTTTTAAATGTTATTATAAAATATATCTGTCTGTCTGTCTTTCTTTCTCTCTCTCTCTCTCTCTCCTCTCCCTCCTCTCTCCCTCTCTCTCTCTTCTCTCTCTCTCTCTCTCCTCTCATCTCTCTCTCTCTCTCCTCTCTCTCTCTCTCTCTCTAGAGAAATTCTCCATAATCACATTTGCATTAATCGTTCTGTCATCCCAACCATCAAATAGGATTTCAGAGTCTCATAAGTTCATTACGAGCCGAGATAAGCAGGATATGCTTTTCATATCTAGAAGTGAGGAGAGAGAGAGAGAGA